GAACACTGACCACGTTTTCTACCAGAAAAAATAATTTAGTTTAACAATCACAAGACACCATATTAATTTACATTTGTTGCTTTTTTGATTTATTTTTACGGTATAATTGCCAAAATGTTTTAATCACTTTTGAGTTCTTAAGGAATTTTAATTTTTGGTAGGTTTACAAATACACGTAGAGACTTGAAACTTGGTAATAATACTTAAATCGGACTTATCTAGACGCAGTATAATTTTCAAAATCATCGGACCACTTTTTATTGTTTTTGAAAACTTGCTCCGATGTATAAGTGTAGCAACTTTTTTGAGAGTCAACTTTATCTACTTGGTAAATACATAAGTCATTTTTTGATTTTCAAAACAATATTTAAAATAAAATCGATTAATCAGGAAAAAAATACGATTTTTTCACGATTTCGTTATTTTAAATAAGTAGGTACCACGTTTTCTAGCACAAATATGGCTCCAATTGAAAAACGACCAGAGATCTTTTTTGTTGAATTATCAATCTTATTTATAATGATGCGGTTCGTTTTTTTTCGATTTTCAAACTAGTTTTCATAATAATCTGGAAAAAACATAGGAAGGTTAGGTTAAAGAAACGGCACTCAAATTATGTATTACCGGTCTGCGCTCGGAATCGTCTTTCGTCATGCAATGGTTTATCGTTGCTTACGGATATAAATGAAATAACCTTATGTATCTTACTTTCCCAACTTCTCACCTACAACAGTGGCCGTACCCGTCCCCAGTATCAGCTATATTTTTTTACGATTGGTTTATGTACAAAAATAGTAAATATAATCGTTGTATCATTTTATACAGGGCCTAAGGTTGCTAAATGTATAAATCCTATACTGCTTAAACCCACGTTGATATTTTTTACCGACGTAAAATATGTAATTGACAAAATTACGTGTAAAATTGTCTGGTATAGTGAGGTGTACCCAGCTAATAACAACCTATGGGTAGCGACTCGTCAGGATAGTATGTATGTACCCAATAATAAATATATAATATTATGATCATTGGACGTCCCGCTTTGCTAATTGGAAATATTGTCCGGAAATTCAACTTTTTCCCGCTATTTCTACGGTGAAAAATAATATTTTGCATAATTTATCCGTAGTATATTATTCTACGCACGCTACGAGCTTTCATTTGAAAATGGACAACTCGAATCCTGTCAGAGAAATTCATTTCTATATAGACGATTAACTTAACCTACCTGTATAATACTATTATGTGAGAATGTTTCATTTGTTTAAAACCAATGCGGTATTTACGAGGGTCGTATTCCGCCCGTCTGGTAATTTTCTTATCATACGCAAACAGACAAAATCCGACTCTCCGATATTTTCTATGACAACCCCGCCCCGCGTATTAAAAATGTAAAGGACAAAATCCCTCCAACATTTCGTCATTTTCAAATAAATCAAATGTGTATAGGTAGATTTTAACAGAATATACTGAAAACCCATACCTAAATTTGTTATCATACAATATTACAAATTTGTAATTGCCCTCTCGAAGCTCCTCTAAACGTGGTAAAACCGATTAGGTAGTTTCTAGGTTAAGTAAATCATTATATTTTAGTTATCATAGTTTGTTTTAGCCACCGATAACATATTACAGCCAAAGACCCGTCTGATACAAAATTGGCTCGATGTAGAATTATTTAATGTTGAACTGCGGTATATAATATGATGGTTATTAAATTTTTTTTTAAAATTCTAAGCGTAGCGAGGAATCTATTGGTCTTCCAATGGTTTTTATTTTATTATTATTTTTTTTATTTTATACGATGTATACAATTTATACCAGAAATCTTTATTCGATTTTCAAGTGTAGCGCTTTTATTGAAAGGAAATTTTATCCGGTTTGTGCTTTAAGCGGGTCATTTTTTGATTTTCTAAACGGTTTTCATCATAATTGGGAAAACATAAGAAAACCGGTAAAATTTATTAGATAATGCTTTTATTATTTTTAATTTATATTTTTGTTCTCATTCAGTCAAACATATTTGTAGAGACTTAAAATTCCGACAGAAATCTTAAATTTGCCTTTTTTGGATGTGATCAGGTTTTCAAAAGATTTTAACCATTGTTTAGCTATGTATAGAAATTTTATATTTGGGAGTTTTTTACGTAATTTTTATTCGGTAGGTACTTTGTGGATAAAATAGTTACACCAAGCAAATATGCTTGAAAATTTAACAGGAAGTTCATTAAAACCGTGATTTGTGGTTAAAAAAAATTGAGCGTAAAATAGAGTTTTTTTTTTATAGTTAGATTTTAAATTCAAATTAAAAACCGTAAATAATACGGTATTTTAAAACATTTTATTTACAACCGAATTCTGCTCAGAATCATTTTTCGTTATCATTAAATAATCGTGGCGTGTACATTAAATTTCCCTTTATATCCCACCTGATCAACTTTTTACCTGCAACAGTGGCCCACCCATCGTGCAAAGTATATCCTCTCGGTATTAATTATTTTGTTCTAATTTAGCTAGCAGCAACATACAGACCGCTGGGAAAACATTAAAACACACGAAACACGTAGTTGACAATATCAGACAAGAACATGATAATTATTACTACGGTAATTTGCAAATCTTAGGCTACTAAACAAATAGCAATGACACTGACGGTTTATGTTTCCGCCGACGTCTGGTGTCCCCGGCGAAATTGATAGTGACCGCTATAATGACGTAGCGTTTCGGCCCGCAGAGCCATCCCGAAACACTGTCGGGGAGTTTCGGTTTACATGCTATATGTAATCCGAGTATACGGACGACATTGTGTCACGATGACGTGTGTTGGACGGGAAATTGATTTCAACAAGGACATAATATTAAAGTATAATATATACTCGTATATATATATATGTATACGTTGGCGGAACGAGAGTTATACGTACGAGTGTGCCAGACCTTTTTTTTTTTTTTTTTTTTTTTTTTTTTTTTAGCTCATAATGGTGTTCCTCGGAACGGTGCCCGTTTTCGTGTACACGCAAGTTAAACGATTTAACACTTGTTCACTAATACGCACGTATTGTGTAATATTTATTCATATACAATAAACAGTGAAACCTGCACGTGACGGACGGTTGAAGGGACCATGAAAAATGCCCGTTATAGACGGGTGTCCGTAATAGACGGGCACGGGAGGTGGCATGGCGCTCTGGATTGCGAAGAAAACATTAAAACAAACAGAGACAAATGTGTAACGCTGCGATACGGGATAATCGCCGAACAGCCTTCACGTTTTATACGTGTTTTCGGTTATTTCCGTCCTCGCTTTATCCTAATTGTCAAACATTGCAATCCGTCGCAATCGGTACCTATTCGAAATTGGCCGGGCGACGCTGTCGCGTGGCTTGTGTGTACGTACACGGTACACGTTCGCGTTGCATTTGATTTCGTAATAACAATAGTTTTATTTGTAAACAAACGATATCATTATTTCAATACACGAAAGCAATTGTTGTTTACTCACCAACTACAAACGCAAAAGCTTGTGACGGAAGAGAGACGTTCTTGAATTAGGAAAATATATTTTAATGTATACGAAATACAAACAATAATTCAATTTAACTTCGGTTAAATTAAACTTGATATGCAGCACTCGAATAGATTAAAGCTAGAAAAATCGTAAATGTTCATCTCTAAATATACCCGCAGAGCATTATTGCGCGATTCAAACAACTTTTGGTACCAAAACGCTATTATCACGAGCTGACACATTTTTATTGATCTTTTTTTTTTTTTTTTTTTTGATTCTAATTCTATAACTAAAAACCGGATTTAATTGATATTGTAAACTTTTTTTTTTTTTCGCAATTACGATAAATCGGATCTGATTAAATATATAGCCGATATGTACTAAAAATATTCTGCCTATCTAATTGTATAATGCAATTATTTTCAATTTTCGACGTTTTTGCGATTTCTTGCGATTTCCCCACGTTTTTTTTTTAAATCATAGGCGTTTATCGTTCGTCTGGAATTTTCTAAGAGCTTGGAGAGCCCAGCGAGCGATAAACGTCTATACATATTTATACGGAGGTGATTAAACTCAACGCAGTAGTACAGCGATTCGCGTGCGTTTACTTGTTGGTACCTAAGTACCTATTTCTTTGATCAGTTTGACCGCACAGTGAACGTATTCGACGAAAAACTAGAGAAAAGTCTATGTATATAATTGAAAAAAATAAAGGGTATATAACTTTAAAGTCTTACTGTGAAGTCATGTCAGGTAAAACAAATGTTAATTTAAATATAACGCCTACTTTATTAAATTGTTTTAAATATGCACCAATAGTTATTGTAGACGTAGAACGTGGTTTTTCTTTGTACGAACATGTTTTAAGTAACGGAAGATTTAATTTTAATTAATAAAAATGTAATATTTATCTAATTTTTTTTTTTTTAAGTAACTTTTGCATTTTTTTAATGCAATTTATTGTGCAATTTTTACGTGTTTTTTAATGCAATCATATAATTTTAATATGCAATTTGAATGTGCTTTAAATGCAATTAAATCCGGTGTTCAATTATAACTATGACAGCATGTTGAAAAGTAATTTTATGTTTGCAAGGTGTTATAATAGGGTGTTAATAGGATTTCGAACCAAGATAGTCGTCCGTTATCGAGGTATCGGCGAAAAACATTGCTGTCCGTGTCCGTAACAGAGCGAGTCCGTTATAGACAAGTCGAAATACATTGGAATGCCTAGCTTTTTGCCGGGACATTATTATATTGTTCGTTAAAAAAAAAAGGTGTTCATTAAGACAGGTTACACTGTAATATATTATACTTACGTATTACATGTATTGCAATATGTGTTAAATAAAATTATTTATCGTTTAGTTTTGTAGCGCGTTAATTTATAAAATATAACACACCATATCTAGTAATAATTTATTACTATAATAAATACACCAAAATAACACTGTTATAATTACATTGTTTTATTTAGCAATTATGATCTCGATCGATATCTTGTTTCATAGTCACGTTTTGACATGGGTAAAACGATGTTTCGCGAAGAACAGTTGCCACGGGGGTAGATAGGACAAGTTTGAATATTACTGCCGTGTAAATTTCCTAGTTTTCGTTGTCATGTATCCGTCGGATCGTCTGGATCCATCCACATAACGTCGTTGCTGTTTTTCCAGTTAATACGGTCTCGCCCGCTTTCGGTAACATTTTCTCTGTCGACAATTCGTCTTGAGAAATTTTCAATTTACCATCTAAAATAGCTGCTAAAACCGCAGATGTCAGATATTATAGTCTCGTTAGAATGACGTCAAATATTCCCGGTATCTATAACGGAAACGACCAACATGAAATATTCAGTTTGATTTCGATTTAAAAATGATCCGGCTCTGGCTCTCAAAATGCAAAAGAGTTACCGGAATATTATGCACTTTTTGTTCAAAATGTTAAAAACTATATTGCTGCCGGAGCTCTGCGAACTCTTTTCCTATAAATGCACGTAGTTTGCATGCGGATTATTATTCGATTTTTTTTTCTTCTACATAAAAAAAAAAAGAGTGTTCCTTTGTAATAATAATTACATTTATAAATTATTATATGCAATACTCTTTGTGGCGTAATATTAATAGTGGCTATTAAACGGGTCTGGTTACCAGCCCCTCGTGCAAATTTTATCGGATCCCACCGGAATATTATTATTAGGTACTACGGCGGGCTGCGGCGTTATAATTATAATTTATATTATAGAGAAGAGACCGTAATATTTTAACCACAACTCCGGCTGAAAGAAAAAAAAAATCGTTCGATTCGCTTCTTAACACTTTCATCGTATATATTTTTTACTGGTACGTGTATAACGATATACTAGTAAATAATAAGGCTGTGAATTTGTAGGAAAGTGCAGTTTTTTTAGCAGTTTGTGAAACATACCTTTCTAAGTACATAATTTTTATTGTGTTACAATAAAAATAATTTATGAAACATTTATTTGTATTTTTGACATTTTAAATTTTGAAGGTAATTTTTTGGACTTTTTAAGTCATATTTTCATTTTTAGTTCGTTTTTCGGTATTTTCAATCAGATTTTGTTAGTTAACATCTTTACACACATATTTTTTGTTTTACACAAGCTACACTATATACGTCAAATTTATATTTTACACAAACTGTTTTAGGTAAAGGTATACGATAATATAAGGCAATGTTGCCTACATGGTAATAATAATAAGTTATTTGTGGGCTTACGATACATCAATATCATTAATATCGAAATGAATATAAAAAGTGAATTAAAAATATTTTAAGTGCATTTTATATTACATTCTTTGAGACTTAAAATGCATATTTATTTTATTTTTTAACATTTTTTGTGCATGTTTTGGGCATTTTTAAGGTTTTTCACTGTATTAAATTCACAGCCCTACTTATAATTTGTGATATTTACCGAACGTGATCCAACGCAAAGGGTGACGGGGCTACCCGAGTGTGTCCCGAAATGATCATTTTTAAATGTTCCCAGTACGTCCGAAGTATGGGGACTCATCCGAGTGCGTCCTTAAGGTTGATTCATAAAACTTAGGATTATTTAGCCTTCTTCCAAGGCGTCAATATTGTACATACGATAAGCTAATTCGTAAGTTATTTAATAAACTTGGCAACCGTGAGTGAAGTATTGTGTTGAACCTACCCTTATTGCTGTCGGTTACACTTGAAAAAAATAATAAAAGATAGTAAATACTACTGTTGTAAATACGATCGTAAATATACTGTTACTATACGCGGAACAATTATTATTATCACATCGTATTTGTTATAGTAGGATTACCAAAATCTCAAAACACATAAAGAAGGACTTTATCTTTATCGTAGCGTGCTTATTTTATTCTTGACATTATTACAATTATAAAGTTTATCTGTTTGTATAAAAGGTCGGTTCCTTTTTGAGAGCAAAGGAGGAGTAAGACGCCTATTAAAAGTTATTAGACAATGCTATTAAAAAATAAACACGCTACAAGGCAGAATTTAAAGTATTCATCCGTATGCGTTTTGATGTTTTATTTACTGTACTATACCGGGTGATCCATTTAATTGGGTACACTCATTATCTCGGAAAGTATTAACTTCTTTCGGAATTTATTTTATACAATATTTAAGAAACAAGCTGCTTTACAATTTTATACGAATGTTATTAATTTTGTTTATTTTTGGGAGTAAAACCACTACCTACGCATCCTTAATTTTCGAATGGAACGTAGGAGCTGTCAATATTTATACCTCGTCCTGCCTACTTAATCGGAGCGGCTATTCTTACTACACTAACCGGCTTTTGGCAACGAGTCGTTGGACTGATATAAATAAAGGTCACTAAGTTGTACTCATCAAGCCAAAGACACTTAGGACAGTTAAACATAATCTACGAGTATCGGCGATCGGATTGATGATAATTGGACAGATTTGACAGATTTGGGAATTTACTTTTTCATTGACATTTGGGGTATGGAGTGGCCAGTGGCATACACTGCGGTCTCCCTGGCTACGCCGTACGGCGATGTAACGAGTCAGCGGATGTGTATCGTTATAATGTACAGTACGATGTCGATAGGAAGGTATACGGGTGCCAGGGCGACGGACATCAAATTTTAGTCGGATTTATTTCGTAATAACAATGTTATATTATAAAGAGGAGGCGTGGTGTATTTTTTTTTTTTAATCAATAAACGGATGGGCGGATCGGTCGAATTATTTCAGCGGATTTATTACATTGCGAGTTCGCGCTACCACCGAATAAAATCGTGTTGCTCCGAACAAAATATTATTATTATATTTCGCTGCGGTGCGCAGATACGAGGTATCGTGTAAATTACATCGGACATAGTACACCGATATAAATTGTAATACACGGCCGGGGTTGATTAATTCAACGCAATTCCAGTACCTAACCAATATTCAGCGATTCGGGCGATAATAATATTATTATAATTAAACAACTGCATAATTTACACGTACGTAATCGATTTAAATTTATGCGAACGTTGTATTATATTTTCGGAACGTTTAATCTGTACATGACCAAAAATCCGAGCGCGTTATACAACCGCGGTTATCGACGGACACCGGTCGTGTAGACCGCAGTAATAATAATTAATTGAAACACAGGTATAGGTATATTATTGTTGTTCTCGGGGATGAAAACCGTCAGCGCGTATTCGCCAAAAACAATAATGAACGCGATTATGACAATAACACCGTAGTTTCAAATTTATTATGTATAGAAATTTTACTTCGTAAAAACAGAAAAATAATTACAGTTTTAATCGCATATGTGTTTCGTTTATACACCCGGAATAGATTTAGAGAGAATCAATTGAAATGACAAAAACAAAAAAAATGTAAATATATCAGTTGACACAAATGCTGACGGGTGTGTCACTGTTGTAGATGGAAAGTTGGATAGTTCAAATACTTAATGCATAATGGACTACGAAGTGTAGGGTTGTTTAATTCAAATATTTATGAAGATTCGTCGCTAACGAGAAGCGATTCTGAGCAGAGTGTATTGAAATTCTGCGATTTTTACGATTTACGTCCGGGTCAATGCAATATTGTGTCCCGACGAATTCAACTAAAAACTAGAAATGGTCATCGAATGCTTTTCATAACTCAAAAATTGCAGTGCTTTTTCAAAAGTTAAACATCATCGTTTTCCCAATTATTAAGAAAAGTACACGAAAAATTAAAAATTACAATCTCAATACACCAAACAATTTACTTTCCCGTAAGCAGTCGTGGGTTTATCTGCATAAAATTACCTAAAATATAATGAAATACTCTATATTTTATTTTTCATATGTAGGTAAATAAAATCGAAATATTTTACGTTTCTTTCATTTTTGTTTATTCTTCATAATTGTATAGATGATAGATAGATACTAAATATACTGTAGTAAAATAATATTATTGGTTTTCCTTATCGCACAATAATCTCGGTAATTCGGAAATATGCCCATACTGCGTATTTCATTTTTTTACAGGGGTTGAAAGTTTAAAACCTCAAAATGCACATCCTTGATACTAACATATATTACATATATTATATAAGAGGACATCTTCCCCAATTGATGAATAATGATAAATTAAAATATGTTGTTGTATTATTTTTCATTTTTATTTCGTTTAGGCGTTTTTGGGAACTGGGGCGTTAGAGACGTTGAAGGGTACCCATACCCGAATCATATGCAAATCAAAATAAATTTTAATGACTAATTCCGTATAATAAAGCTTATAACGAAACGATAATCGAAGATGAAAAAAAGTCTCTCAGAAAGTTTTGTTTGGCAAATAGTAAATTTAAACACTCTGATGACATAGTTATGGTAAGCCCATTAGATTTATTTTATAATTACCTATATATTGGTTTTCATTGTGATATTATTCAATTCACTCTGTGTATACAGGGTGATTTATTTATCATGAACCAGAGGATTTTAAGTGAATTTTATTTCTATTTTTTCTAATCATTATGGAATCGTATATATTTTATTTTAAAATCATTTTTAATTTTTTACCCCTACTCTATGTATCTTAAATAAGTGCATACTTTTGATTTTCAAATATGAACCCTCTCTTTTGAGCACAGAATTTAAAAAAATAATATTTTTCTAGAAATTTCGATGTGCATAATACCAATATAAAATTTACCGTTTATGAGTTGTAGCAGTTTAAAGTTTAAACCGGAAGAGTAGAGAACGGTAATAAATTGGTTCATGACAAAAAAAATCACCCTGTAAAGGAGGTACAGAATACAAAATCGCCCGGCAAGCGCTGTACCATTTATCTGATAAGTAACGATGATCTCAAAATTTAAATCAGTATCCTTACGTATTTTTTGAACATAATTTGAGCACTGTACATGACACAGTGTAAATTCGCATCTCAATTTTAAAAGAAAACTCGACCGAAAATTGCACCAACATACATTATGAGAATACATTACTAATGCATTATGAGAAATGCCTGCGCTCGTTTACCGCGTTAAAACAACATGACACATGTATTGTGTGTGTATTTGTATACGTAAATAATATCTACAGTTTACATTATTGTATTAAGCTATCAATTTGTATACGGTGCAATACTACAACGCGGGTGTAAACTCAAAATACCTCAAAGTAGACATAATATTTCAGTGGCAGTTTGACAACTTAAATCGTCCAATTAATCAGTTTCACGGGGTCTCGGTAGGTAATCGCGGAAACGGGGTTGAGTTACAAATACATTGCAAATATTGTATAATTTGTAATGCCTATATTGAAATATAACCGCGGCCGAGAGGATCATGATGACGGTAAAACATTAAACCTTGTGAAATTTCCTTCGCATAATGATAATGTACTGCGTACGATTTGATAAATTGAAGAAGATAACAGTGGCGTTCCCAAGATTTTCCAATTTGGGTAAGAGGAAGTTTCTGCGCGTGCATATATACGTATTTAATACGAATCACTATACAAATATAACATAGTTCTAGCAATACACGCAATATCTATATCAAGTATACGAAGTTCTCTTGAGGTTGTTGTGCAAAACGCATAATTGTATTTGTACCTACCCGGTGTAGTTGATAGTATAACGAATAATTCGCAATGGTTATTTTTGCATCGTTTATTGATGTTTTAATGCTAAATAATTTATACCGTTGATATTTTGTTGGCTATTTAATAGTTTGGTACGGTCGATGGTAGAGAGCTAAAGCCCCTTTGGCCCCTTAAATATTATTATACGTTCAAAATCATAACCGGGAATTGGTTTTGATTACTATTTTGCTAATTAATTTTCACTGTTTTCCGGTTTTTCGGTTCGTTTTAATATTAAACAAAAAAATGTAAACGCAATTGAAAAATAATGTTTCGCGGTATGTACTGCAGCATCTGCAGTTGAATTTTCCACGATAATTCGCATACGATTCACGTATCGCTATTAATTGGTTTTACATGTAAAACAGCTTTATTGACCAATATTTACTTGTATTTTGCCGCTATTACAATATTTGGCACTAAAAAAAAAAAAAAAAACAAAAACAAAAACACAGAATATGTTATATGTGTTATATTATGTGTATAAAGTCATGTCCGACTTTGCAAATCCAAAAATGTTGTAGTAATCGAACACTATTTTGCAAAAAATACAAGTATGTACATACATAATAATGTTTAAGGTTTGGTGTTCAAATTAAAAATGCTGTGGAAACGGAGTTTAATATTATGCAGATGGTGCAAAATTAAAATACAAGTACAAAGTTAAGTTATTTGAGAGAACAATCTGAGTACGAACAATTGAAAACTTTTAGATATAAATTAAGGGCCTACATGAGAAGGGCCCAACGAGAAATTTTCGAAAAAACGGTATACGCGCTTGTGCACACAAAGAGAACGTTTTGGAACCTACGTATAAGTGTCGTTTCAGAAAAAAATACATAGAGAGAGAATATTTTTCTTTATTTCTTTTTATCATTATGTATAAAAATGGTTTAATTAGGTATTTTAGATTCTAAATGCAGCGTAAAATGTATTGGTGTCACTAATGATTTTTTTATTTTTTTTATACTGTGTACAAAAATTCTATCAGAAATCTTATACGGATATGTACGCACGGCACCGTTTCTGAATGGCAATGTTGCCCAGATGGTACTTTTAGAGGTTATTTTTTGATTTTCAATGCGGTTTTCATAATATCTGAGAATAACCAAGATAAAACGTAAGAAAACCGGGAAATTCACAAAAATAATGCTTTTATTATTTTTCAATTTTGTTATTCGTTGTAATGTAGTTAAAAATATTCATAGTCCTCTATGGACTCAAAATTTGAACAGGATATTTATATTTTCTTTTTATAGACGTGGTAAAATTTTCAAAAAATTTCAGCAATTTTTGAGTTATTTATAGACATTTTAATTTTGAGAATTGTGTACGTAATTTTTATTCGGTAGGTACTCTGTTGTAAAATGATTAGACTTAATAGAAATGCTCAACAATTTAACACGAGTTTCATTAGGAGTCTTACTTTGTGATCAAAAAAAGAAAATGTTAGTTTAATGTAGTACTTTTTTTTTTTAAGGGAATTTTGATATCAAATTTTAACGAAAATCGGTAAGTAAAAAATTATGTGGAAAATATCTAATTTTTGAATTTTTTTTTTTTTTTTCGAACATATGTATATTGGCGATTTATAAAAGATAGTTAAGTCAGAATTATGCAGATATTATATGTTATGT